GAACTGCATGTCTCATAAACCAAATGGGACCGTTTAGGTTAAACCCTGTTAAGCATTGAAGACTTTATTGCAAGGAAGCAAATACTTTAATAAGCACAATTTAGAAATATGGAAATATCGGCCTAAATGCCTGAAAGAAACCTGAAATAAGAAAAGTATTACCAACTTGTAAATAATATGGTTTACCGTGAGAGAATTTAGGGTTCCTATTTCCTCAGGTAGCTTCTCTAGACAGTTGTTGTGAAGATCAAGGACGGAGATACATCCTAGATCAGAGAGAATTCCTCCACCATTCAGCTGGGTTAACTCATTATCCTAGATATCATTATGAACTATTCTTAACTCATTATCCTAGATATCATATAAACTATTCTTAACCCATTATCCTAGATATCATATAAACTATTCTTAACCCATTATCCTAGATATCATATAAACTATTCTTAACTCATTATCCTAGATATCATATAAACTATTCTTAACTCATTATCCTAGATATCATATAAACTATTCTTAACTCATTATCCTAGATATCATATAACCTATTCTTAACCCATTATCCAAGATATCATATAAACTATTCGTAACCCATTATCCTAGATATTATATAAACTATTCTTAACTCATTATCCTAGATATCATATAACCTATTCTTAACCCATTATCCAAGATATCATATAACCTATTCTTAACCCATTATCCTAGACATCATATAAACTATTCGTAACCCATTATCCTAGATAGCATATAAACTATTATTAACTCATTATCCTAGATATCATATAAACTATTCTTAACTCGTTATCCTAGATATCATATAACCTATTCTTAACCCATTATCCTAGATATCATATAAACTATTCTTAACCCATTATCCTAGATATCATATAAACTATTCGTAACCCATTATCCTAGATAGCATATAAACTATATATAACCTCGAATTAGCAAATGACAAAAAATCTGGAGGAACTGAGTTTTTGTCAGAAACGCTGAGTTTTTTATTCTTATTTCTTTGCAACCCGATGTCGGAAACCTTTTATATTGCAAACTATGAATTCTGTTGGAGCAAATAATCTAAGTAGAAATATCAAAGGTTTACACCAGGTTGCAAAGATATAATTTGATTAGAAAATTTGAGTTTGTGGCAAACACTCAGTTTCTTTTACTTAAAAGCACTGTGGGCGTACTTGATTAGACAAAGCTTTTAAGGGTACCGTTGTAAATCGGACATTGCTATCTTTGCGTGGAGGCTCACTTGAAATTATACTTTATAACTACCCCCCCCCCACACACACAAAAGGCTATCTTTGCTACAGATCAAAGGTGTTTTTGAAGAAATTTTTAAAGAAAAAATTTTGAATTCATTGAAATAATTCTAATATTTAAAAAAATATTGACTATTGGAAGAGTTCTAATGGAAGCCATTTTATGAAGGAACATGATACTTTAGATATATTAGTGTTGATATGGGATACTTTGCTGGGATACTGGAGTAGAAAAATAGTAGGATAATACTTTCTCGGGTACTAATATAATAAGATACTGGGACACTAGGATACTATATTTACAGGTAAACTAGGATACTAGAATATAATAAGATACTAAGATACTATATTTACAGGTATACTAGGATACTGTAGAATATAATGAGACATTGGAACACATGATAATGGAAAAGTAACCTCGATATTTAAATAGTAGGTGACCATGATACTAGAATAATGGGATACCAGGATAATGGGGAAAATGTTTACCAGGATACTAGGATACTGGGATACATATATAGCAGGATACTAGGATACTGGGATACATGTATAGCAGGATACCAGGAAAGTTAGAAGAAAGAATACTGTGAAGCGTTAAAAGTGGATACTAGGGTAATGGGATACTAGGATGTTACCCAGAGAAGATTAATCTATCTCACACTTTTACAATCCAGGACGAAATTGCGGAGAAAGGAGCAAAAACTTCTGAACAGATCACACTAACATTTATACCACAGGGTTGGGTCTTATCTTATCCGTAGTTTAGGGGTTTCCTGAGATGGTGATAGAACTTTTGTGAAGATATGAAAACAATTATCAAAATAAAATTGTATTGTGGAATAAAGCATCTTTGTTAAATTGTGTTGAAAAAAATAACGAAAGTAAATATAAAAATAAATGTCAATATAAAAATAAAAAACAAAACAAAAAAAACTCTCTCAACACACACTCAAATCAACTTTACAAAGTTGGTGTAAGACTGATTCACATAAAGAAGGTCAAAATCTTTTTTTGTAATTCAGCAAAAATTATATTTTTCCAGTTCTGTTAATTTAAAACTTTTACTTTATATGTTCGAGAAACACAATTTAAAAATTAAAATTTTTAAAATTGAGTTTAATCTGCTCTTCTGATGGTTTAGGTACCTGGAGAAGAAGAGCTTGCTTCCTGAGAACTTTACACCTGGAGAATACTCCTGATGGAACATTCTTCAATCCACACTCTGACAGATCATAAACAGGCTCAGGACTCTCCTGGGCCTAAAGATACAAATACAGTGGTAGACGATTATATCAATACAATAAAGACGACTTTTTATTTATGTTTTGATTGTTAACAGGCTTTTCTCGAATTAAAAGTTAAAAAGTAATTAAAAAGAAGCTTTTCTTATTGACAGCTTATTTTATATTCTATTTTATATTATATATATTATATATATTATATATATGATATAAATCACCAAAATTCTACAACTGAAGATTGCTCCAAGCCATAAAACATCAAGTTAATATTATAATTTTTTTTGTATAATAAAGAAAATGCGATGTTGAATACAGAATTGAAAAAGTATACTAAACAACATTTAACGACATTTTTGTGTTTTGTTTACTTTCTATTTAACTGAGCTTTAAACCAAAGAATTTTTAATTTAAAGCAATATTAATCTTAACTACAGTTCTTACACTTAATAATATGAAGTAATAGGAAATTTTAAAATAAAACTTCTTTAACTATATGTGTTTTGTTATAATCGGAAATAATGTTGCGTCTAACTAAATTCATTGATAAAAATTCAAAATATAATTTCAATTTGATTCAATTTAAATATTTTATGAATAAATTTAAAATGTCTAATTTTTGAGAAATGAATAAGAGAGATTTTATGCTTTTTGTAAAAACTAAGATTTTAAAAAGAGTTAATGTTTTGTAAAATATGAAATTTTTAACAAATTGTTAGTTTTATAAGGTTTGTTTACCAAATATTGTTTATGTTCAAGTCTGGATCTATAGTTTATTTTCTCTTTACTCTTCTCTCCGTCCTTATCCTTCTTCCAGAACTGCATGTCTCCGGACCCACCCGGATCCTCACTAAACAGAACTATTTTATGAAAGAGATTTCAACGTTGTCGTTTATCATTAAAGAGCACTATTTATGATACAGAAACTAGGACAAAACTCGGCTATTTTCTTTCTTATTTATGCAATAATACCCATCTACGTGTCCTTTTTCAGGAAAACCTAATTCACAGGTTTTCAATCTATAAAACGAAGGAATCACCCTCCTCATTTTCGGGTGATTATTTAAATGGTACCATTGTGAATTGTCTATGGCAAATACCACTTCAAACCATGTTAGCTTGCCTTTTTAATTTACTAAAGGAATTGAGTATTGGTCACAAACTCTGATTTTCTTATCCCTATATCTTTGCATTTCAATGTCGGAGACCTTAGATATTTCAAACTATGAATTATTTCAGATCAAATAATGATACTTTGAAATATCTAAGAATAAAACCATCAGGTTGCAAAGATATAGCGATTTGAAAATCAGAATTTGTGGCAAAAACTCAGTTCCTTTGTTGCTTGAAATAAAATACAATTTTAGTTTCCAAGAAGATAGTTTTTAACTAATTATGATAAACTAAAAACTTCAAATAATATATTAAAAGCAAACTTTTAAAAGCATAAATTTTCAGGGGCGTACACAGGGGGTATGGGGGCGTGCCACGTGATATTAAAATAGGTTAAACTCCATATGGTTAAATTCCTGTATACGCCCCTTTATATATGTATTTTGTCAACTAAAATCTCAGAAAACGGACGGACAATATTGGCCTGATTAAACATTTTTCTTTTAAAATAAATTCTCACCTGTGTTTTGAAGCACAAATTCCTTCTCCTTTACCCATACCTAGATATAGTAGAATCAACATTCAGTCCATATTTTACAATGGAGGGAAGTTCAGGCTGTTCGGAAACTATACCAAAGTATTATATCTTCAATGCAGTGGGGGCGGAGGCATAATGTATTAAATTTGAAATGAGGACAGAAAGAATAATATTTTTAATAGTGGTAAAATGTGGATATGGGAAAAATATAAATGATAAGTAGAAAACATGAACGTAACTTCATTTAGTTACATAGCAGGCAACATGAAGCAAGTCTTATTTATATCAATATTATTTTGGTTTTTGGACAGAAATTTTCTCTTTATCGAGAAGGTTCGAGATAGAAAGAAAATTAAAGTCCATAAACTTTAAAGGACGTAGTGCCAAAATAATGGTGTTATAGGTAATTTTATGAAACGTTTGTGTACTTGTCTTATTGCAATGGCTATTTATAGATAAATAAGCTTTTTAAGAAAGCAGATGTAAACATATAAGGATAGAATCCAGGAGTAAGATGGGAGGGTATGGTAGGATCTCCAGTGAGGAAAAAACGAATTGAGTTTATCAATGAACCAGAACATTTCCCTTCCTTCATATTCTTCATAATATCTATATATTTATCCATTTGATTCAATATCTGCTGTATCAAGTATATATATACTGATATATTCGCTGATATATATATATATATCAATATATATATAGTATTTTCAACTTTTTCAGTTTAAATATACATTTTAGATGTTTAAATATATATTTCTTCCAAGACAAAATGTTTCATGGGTATAACCCAATCATCAGATGAAATAAAACTGATACTGGAGCATTTTTTACAATGATTTTACGGATTTTTGCAGAATATGATAAAAATTGTTTTACACATTTAAAATGATACATAATGTTTTACTTAAAAAAAAACTTTTTGAAAAAAATCTTCTTGAAATGGCAGTTCATAAGTTTCTTCTCTTGTTTACTTCTCCTCAGGTCTTGTAACATTTACTAAGTAGGAATTTCTCTCGGTGCCTACACTTGTTCATTACTACGCTTCTTTTATTCATTAGGTTTACATCCTCAGATAACAATATACAAGTTTTTTCCATCAGACAGAGATTGCACGTTTTTGCGACAGGATTATATGGTTTCGCTTTACTAACTATTGACCAGGATATTGTAAATGGTTCGTTTATCTTCTTTTTTAGGCCCCAGATATGCTTGGATAAACTAGTATTATATTCATATTTAAGATTATTAAAGGATAACTTGTGATTAGTATATCTCTCCTTGAACGAATTTGCAGCTATACCTATATAACTTGCAGTCATCCCTGTTGACATCACTTCTGCTTTATAAACCACTCCTTTACTCAAACATTTTCCATTTAGAAAACTATTCTTTGTTCCACTACGACAATTGCAATCTTTTACATTTTTATCCTGATTTGATTTAAAGGTTTTACTCAGAAGTTTCTTATTATGTCCAGAAAGAACTGCTTCAATATATTTGTCCATACAAGAATATGATACTTTAATCGTTGATCTATTAAAGTATTATCTCAGTTCTGTTTTTCCAAAATGTTTATCAATCAAACTTAAGAACTTTTCCGCTACTTTTGTCTTTACTGTTTCACTAAAAGGAGGATTGAACCAAATAATTTGTCTTGATCTTGTTTTCTTTTTATCACTGTTTTGATTAGATGGGTTGAATTCAAGTCTCTCCGTATATCCTGCTTGATGTAGTGCATCCATATAGGGTTTTGACTCATTCTCAAAAACTTCTCTGGAACATGATAAATTAGAAACTCTTTCTTCAATCATTTTTGGAAGTTCTTTTTTTATAGACCTAGAATGATTAGATTTGACATTGATGTAAACAGGAATTTCATTGTTTTTTCTGTATGGTTTAAAACTTTCTTTTCTTAGATCAAAATAAACATCCAAGAACTCTGTAACTGTAACATTTCCCTCTATTGTAACCTTGAGTTTACAATCTTTAAAGAAACATTTTCTTCCTAATTTGTTCAATCTCTGGTCCCGATCCTTTTACAACACATAACCCATCATCTCGATATAATATTCTCTTGTGGAATGATCTTCTCCAGTTTACTCAATATATATAATATATACTGATATATATTGAGTATTTTCCTAATCCTCTTCTACAGTATATCCCCAGCATAACAAATATACGGCCAATAGTAACTTTCAGAGTTGGAGAATTGGAAGATTGAGGGAGGATTTGAAGGTAAAGGAGATTCAGGGGATTGGAGGATGGAGGGGATTAGAGGGTTACAATGATGGGAGAATTGAAGGTTTTGGAGGAAGTGCGATACAGAGAGGAAAAGAGGGGTGGGACGTTGGAGGTGATCAAAGCGTCGAAGTGGAGGCAATTCGAGGAATTATGGGATGTGAGGATAACCGTGGCGGAATGATTGAGGGGGTGGTGGGTGGGATGATTTTGGGAATGAGAAGAAGATCGAGAGGAAAGGAGGGATAAAAGGAAGGATTGACGACATGTAAGAAATGAGGGAATATAGGGAATGGTTTGATGGAAAGATCGATGACAGAAGGGAAGAAAGAGGATGGAGAGAATTAAAGATTAGAGGATGGAGAGGATTAAAGATTGAAGGATGGAGAGAATTAAAGATTGGAGGATGGAGAGAATTCAAGATTGGAGGATGGAATGGATCAAAGATTGGAGGATGGAGATAATTAAAGATTAGAGGATGGAGAGGATTAAAGATTGGAGGATGTAGAGGATTAAATATTAGAGGATGGAGAGGATTAAAGATGGAGGAATGGAGTAATTTATTGGAGAATATAAGAATATAAGGAACTTTTTTTGGCATTACAAATATTAAATTTTAAAACCTTTTGTTCCAGAAAAAAATGTAGAAAGGAATGAAGTAATTGACGCGTGTGAGAGAAGAGGAGGAGTAGAAAAGAATAATCGCATTTTCCAAATCATCTCTGTCACGTCTAGTTTGGCAGGGGAACATAATATTAACGCCAGTATTCTCCGGTTCAAAACCACAACATTGTTCAGAATACATTCAAGTTGGGGGACAAGGATTATAATTTACAGAAATTATTCCAAAAATTACGAAAATGTATTTAAATTATTAATTACAATTACGAACATTACGAACATAGTGTTCGAAATTACAGAATGTTAGGGATAAAGAAGGAATTAAGTCTTTGCTACAAACTCAAATTTCATAATCTCTATATCTTTCCAACCTGATGGAGTAAACCTTATATATTTTAAACTTAGATTTTTTTATCTAACAGCGGGTGTTTAAATATCTAAGGTCTACGACATTATAAAATCTGAGTTTGTAGGACAGGGATAGGTTAGTACAGTATATAGAATGCTAGTTCAGGATGAAACCAGGATTGAATAAACTAAACTGAGTAAATAATTTAAATTCCAAAATTGAATTAAAAATTTCCAACTTGGTCAAATATCTAATTTGAAATATCTAAGGTTCTAAATATTCAGATCCCTACCATCTTTTCTAAACCTGTAGGTTCAGATCCCTACCATCCTGTCTAAACCTGTAGGTTCAGATCCCTACCATCCTGTCTAAACCTGTAGGTTCAGACCCAAGCTCCTTCCTAACCCTGTATAATCAGACCCAAGCTCCTTTCTAAACCTATATGTTCAGACCCACGCTCCTTCCTAAACCTATATGTTCAGACCCACGCTCCTTCCTAAACCTTAATGTTCATTCCCAAGCTCCTCCTAAACCAGTATGTTTAGACCCAAGCTCCTTCCTAAACCTTTATGTTCAGATCCAAGCTCCTTCCTAAACCTTTATGTTCAGACCCAAGCTCCTTCCTAAACCTATATGTTCAGATCCAAAGCTCCTTCCTAAACCTTTCTATTCAGACCCAAGCTCCTTTCTAAACCTTTATGTTCAGACCCAAGCTCCTTCCTAAACCTATATGTTCAGATCCAAGCTCCTTCCTAAACCTTTGTATTCAGACCCAAGCTCCTTCCTTAAACCTATATATTCAGACCCAAGCTCCTTCCTAAACCTAAATGTTCAGACCCACGCTCCTTCCTAAACCTATATGTTCAGACCCACGCTCCTTCCTAAACCTTAATGTTCATTCCCAAGCTCCTCCTAAACCAGTATGTTTAGACCCAAGCTCCTTCCTAAACCTTTATGTTCAGACCCAAGCTCCTTCCTAAACCTATATGTTCAGATCCAAGCTCCTTCCTAAACCTTTGTATNCCCCCCCGACTTTACACTATCTAAACTAGACTTTCCAACTTTTGTATTCCTACTATAGATTAATTAAGGGCCCGTTCAACTTTAATTAATTTAATTTGATTTAATTCTAGAGTTTTAAACAAAACTTTGTAATGTGGAAAGTTTAGTCCATTTAAAATCTTTAAAATTTCTAGATTTTAAGATAAAATCTTTTTTCTTTAAAGTTGAAGATAACTTGTTTTCTCTGAAGGTTTTTATCAAAGCTTTGAAGTGCTTTCCTATTTTCTTTTAAAATACAGTTTATTGGTCAAATTTTATTTGACTGTCCCCTGAGACAGATGTGGCGTCATGTCAAATCACAAAAGAAATAAAGAACTGAAGGTGCGCTAGCAAAGGCTGGTAGGAAAAAGAGGTTCTGCCAATTTCTCATTATTTCGATAAAATCTCTTTGAAAACCTTCTTTTCTACCTAACTTAATCTAACCCTTCTTTTGATTATGTTTTTATTTCAGATTTACTACGAGGAAAGAATATTGTTAAACTTCCTTTTGTTTAAGTTTGTTTCCGAGAAAAGGTTCAGTCTTATCCTCATCAATCAAATGTAGCACCCGGAGCATGGATGGTTATTTTTTTCCTTTTACTCCAGGAACCTTTCTCAAGAAGAATAGTTTTTGCCATTTAGCTCCTCTCTCCCCTCCATCCTGCAGAGATATTAAGACCTTTCATTTCTCCGCAAACCTTATTTCTTTCATCATTTGCAGTTCGGAGCATATTGAAATCAATGCATATAATTATTTATGTATTCTCAGGTTTAGTAACAATATTCATAAACTACCAATTTTCTAAAGATTTTATTTGTCATGGCATTTGATTGTTTCTTTCTCGAAATCTACAAATTATGGAACTTCCGATGTCGATAATTAGCTGATTAAATAAAAATAGGATTAGTAAAATCATTTTTGGAATAAAACATTAATATAACTATCAATATTCTATTCAGTATCTAGATTGAATTGCCCGAAAGTTTAATCCCATTCTTCTGATAAAATCTCTACATTATTCTCATCTCAACCAGAGGTTTCTTTCAGAAAAATAGAGATTACAATGGAAAATGGATATCAGGAACGAATGGATATTCTAGGGTAGTGTGGATTTTTAACATGGTCTTGGATATCCTGGTTTCTCTCATACCCTCTTCTCCCTCCTTCTTTTCTAGTTTCTCCCATATCCTCTTCTCCTTCTTCTCCTGGTTTCTCCCATACCCTTTTCCCCTTCTTCTCCTAGCTTCTCCCATACCATCTTCTCCTTCTTCTCCTGGTTTCTCCCATACCCTCTTCTGCTTCTTTTATCAGGTTTACTATCCTCCCTAGCTACCTCCTGTACCCCTGACCTCCATTAACCAAAATTCATTCTATGGTTGATTGGTACTTGGCTAGCTACGAATGGAAACATTCCCCTCTATACCCTCCCCATTGCCTCCCCAATTCTCTTCCCCTCCCCCTCCTCCTAAATAATTTCCCCTCTTTCTGCTATACAATTTTTCACTAGAACCTCTCCTTTCCTCTTTTATGACTTAGTATTTATTTTGTCTATTAATCCTTTCCTCCAATATTACACTCTATTCTTTTCCTCCAATATTACACTCTATTCCTTTCTTCCAATATTACACTCTATTCCTTTCTTCCAATATTACACTCTATTCCTTTCTTCCAATATTACACTCTATTCCTTTCTTCCAATAACACACTATATTCCTTTCTTCCAATATAACACTCTATTCCTTTCCTCCAATATTACACTTAATTCCTTTCCTCCAATATTACACTCTATTCCATTCCTCCAATATTACATCACTCTCTTCCTTTCCTCCAATATTACATTCTATTCTTTTCCTCCAATATTAAACTTTTTTCCTTTCCTCCAATATTACACTCTATTCCTTTCCTCCAATATTTCACGCTATTCCTTTCCTCCAGTATTACACTCTTTACCTTTCCTCCAATATTACACTCTATTCCTTTCCTCCAATATTACACTCTATTCCTTTCCTCCAGTATTACACTCTTTACCTTTCCTCCAATATTACACTCTATTCCTTTCCTCCAATATTACACTCTTTACCTTTCCTCTAATATTACACTCTATTCCTTTCCTCCAATATTACACTCTATTCCTTTTCTCCACCAATAGGTTTTTACTTAGGTCCAGATTTAAACATCATTATAAAAACCTCTAATTATAATGTTAGAGACTTTAATGCAGACCTAAAACTACATCGTAGATAAAGGAACTGAATTTTTGCAACAAACTCTGATCTTCTAATTCCTTATCTCTGCAGCCCAAAGTCCTTTGATATTTTAAACTATGATATATGTTAGATCAAATCGTTTAAGTTTGAAATATCAAAGGTTTACATCATCAGATTGCACAGATATAGGGATTAGAAAATTTGAGTTTGTGGCAAAAACTGACTTCCTTTGATCTTCTTTTAAAAATTTATTTTTTTAGCACTATTAAAAGTGTGCAGTTGTAGATCTGTGAATGACTTTATTCTGTAAAGTGAATCCCCATTTAAAAATTTATTTTTTTAGCACTATTAAAAGTGTGCAGTTGTATTTATGTGAATGACTTTATTCTGTAAAGTGAATCCCCATTTAAAAATTTATTTTTTTATTTATATAAATAGTACATTATGCATCAAAACAAATAGATCTCTATAAATAGAGCCAAGAGCTGTAATAATATTGTTCTCGTCTATTTTTTTCTGACGATTTGAAAATAAAAGAGTAAATGGGTTGGAATTCTAAATTTATATAATCCTTAAAATACTTTTATACTTAAAATAAAGATCTATTTTAACCTTTGCATAGAATTATCATAACGATCTATTTGTACCATAATAAGATTGCTTCACAAAACAGTTTTAGTAGAAGTAAATATTTCCATTTACTGTTATAGCGCTGATATAAGGATTCATCTCTAATTGGATAATGAGCTTTTTGGAAAGATAGATGTTACCGCCATACAATTTCTATTGGTTCAGAATAGACACCGTCCAAACACATGGCGGAACCCTGATTGGATCAGGCGCTAATGAACGGTAACTTTAAAATGACGTTAAAAGTCCCTTTTATTTCTTGTATAATAGCAAACGCTATAATTTGAAGCATAAGAAGGATATAATAAATGTTTATTAATATATTTCTATGAACTGAAGAACTAAAAAACACTCGCAGGAAATTAATAAATGTAGGAGTAAGGTTCTTTGTTATGAGGACTTTCACTTCATTATTTTCAATAAGAAATTGTTAAATTTTGGTTAAATACTTTTTAGAGAGTACAAATCTCAGTTTGTTTGATGTCTTAAAAAAACATAATGGAAACAGTTTCTAGTTGTTGATGAAACCTTTTGTTAAACGTTTATTAAACAATTACAATATATCTAAAAGAATTGAGTCTTTGTCACAAACTCTGATTTTCTGCAACGCAATGTCGTAGACCTTGGATATTTCAAACTAATAATTCTATTAGATCAAATAGTCTAGGTTTGAAATATTAAAGTTTTACACGATCAGGTTGCAAAGATATCGGGATTAGAAAAAATTTAATTTGTGACAAAAACTCAATTCCTTTGTAGTAATGTGCAATGATACAGTATATAAAATGCACAATTCACATACAAAGAATAATTTAGATGGAATTTATATATTTAATATGCAACGCCCAGTGTAGACTGTACAAATGTACATAGTAATAGTACTGTATTTTTTTTGTAAATATATATATATATCTATATATATATGTGTAGAGCTTTCTACGTATTGCATAAGATTAATTAGAAACACATTACTATTTCGGCCTACCTTAAATTTTCATACTACAATAAACAGCGGAAACATCCAGATATAAACTTTTTGCAAGTTATTTAAAAAATTATAGAATTATAAACTTCAATGCCAAATAATACAAAGCTTATAAAATGGGACTTCCAATTAAAAATAGATTAGTGACGGTTCTGATCAATTCAAAAAAAAATATATTTAATAAATAATTCAATGAAAAAAAACTAAAGTTCATAAAGTACTGTACAACAATTACTCAGAATTATGAAAACCTTGCTACTTACATTGTACCAGGATGTTCAATAGTTGTACTGTAGTTTAATATTACACTAAGGAACTAGATTTGTCTGATACTGAGTATACGGAGGTTGTGGAGATTACTGAACCACTAACCAGACCTCGCAACGAGGCCGGTACGAGGCCAGACAAACCGGTTTCTACTCAATATATGCTACTATATTGTACTATTCATATTGTAATATTTATATTATACTATTTATATTGTAATATTTATATTGTACTATTTATATTTTACTATTTATATTATACTATTTATATTGTACTATTTATATCATACTATTTATATTGTACTATTTATATTGTAATATTTATGTTGCACTTCTTACATTGTAATATTTATATTATACTATTTATATTGTACTATTTATGTTGTACTATTTATATTTTACTATTTATATTGTACTATTCATATTGTACTATTAATATTGTAATATTTATATTGTAATATTTATGGTGCATGTCTTACATTGTAATATTTATATTGTACTATTTATATTGTACTATTTATATTTTACTATTTATATTGTACTATTGATATTGTACTATTTATATTACTTGTATTGCACTACTTGTATTGTAGTACTTGTATTTCACTGTTTATTGTGTACTTTATATATTGTACTATTTTTATTGTAATAAATATTAAATTATCTGCACTTTAATTTATAAACAGATTTATATTTAAGAATTTCTAAAAAATACTGGCAGAACATTTTTTAATAAATATATTCGTATTACTTCATTGTATAAAGGCACTAAGTTTTTACCACAAACTCAAATTTGCTAATCCAAATATCTTTGCAACCTGAGCTAAAAACTTTAGAATGGAATATCCTTAATCCTGATCGGAAAATTAATCTGGAGATTAAAAATGAGTGGAGAAAATAAATTACGCAATGAAGCATTAAAACGAAACAAAAAATAATAACATTTTTGATTTGAAAATCGTGAAATGTTCTTCTTGCGTGTTTTGTATCGATGACATATTCCAGTTAAATTCATTAATTCAATGAAACTTTTATTAAAAGCAATTGGAATTATATTTAAAAATATAAAGATGATTTATCCCTGTTATAACTCTATAGTGTACACTGCTTGCTGTACTGTTCCGGCAAAACACAGAGAGAAGCCTTCTAAGCTGGGACGAAAGAAACTAAAACGAAATAGTTTCAAACAGAGAAATACTTTTTCATTGATTTACTGATCATTTAGGGTTCAAATGGCGAATTTAGACGATAAGGTAAATAATTAACTTGAACCTTTTTTCATCGATTAAAAATCGCTTCTTTAATTCTGTGCCTTTTATTTCTGGCTTTGAGCGGGTTGACTTATGAAAAGGAAAACAAAAAATCTAGAAATGGGGAGAGGGGGGGGGGCTGCTGTCCGGGTCCCCCCCTCCTTATATAGAAACAATATTTTGATAAATGCAGTGGTGTAGCTAGGGGTTCCCTAGGGAGGGGGGGGCCTGGGGGGATTTTAAGGAGCAATTAATACTTAATCTAACATATAGTGCAAGTACGGGTCCGTCTTAGTATACGATTTTGTTTTTTAAGTATGATCTTATATCTGTATATTTAGCTGCTGGGTGAGAAGCTTCACTATTACTGTTCCTCTAGTGAGGATGAAGATGAAGGAGGGATACAACGCGTAGATCCGTCCCAGGATCCTCCCCCTCTACAGCAACCTGCTCTGGACGGGAATACGGGGAATACAGGACCTAAGGGAGTTATCAAGGTTTGGATTTAATTTAGTGTTTATTATTATAAAGATTGTTGGAATTACATCTTGAATTTTAAGTTTTTAAACGTTCTTCCAATTTATAAATCATTTGTATTATTATTAATTTCGACACTCACGCAACTCAAAGGGAGTAATAAAGTTATTAAATAAAGTTAATAAATAAAGTTAATAAATAAAGTTGATAAATAAAGTTAATAAATAAAGTTAATAAAAAAAGCAAGTTAACACATATTTTTTTCTTAATGTAAGTATGATGAAGCTGTTATGGAAAATATACGTTATAACTTGTAAATTAACTAAAAATGAGATTTTTCATTTATAAAATGTAATTTTCTAATGTGATAACTGTTTAGGAATAATGTCAAGAAAAAGATCGAAACCATTTCCAAAGATATTTTTACATCGATTTTCATATTTCATAACCCCCCCCCCCCTTCAGATGTGCGTCAAAACTTATCGCCTCCGTGTAAATAAACGTATTATAAAAATGTTATCAATGAAGTATTTTTTTTGTTAAACATGTCAATACAAGTTTGTGACGATATCTAATAAATACTTTATACTATCGAGCGTAGATCCCTTAAAAAATATTTTCTACAGAGTGTCCCGCAAAATCTTTGCATTAGGGGTATTGGGTACTAAGGGAAAAATTTTGTACTTGTAAATCTGTATATTTTAGGAATTTCAAGTTTTTAGTTTTTTGTTACAATTCCCATTCTTTAAGTATAAGTCTCAATTCTCAAAGAAGGGGTTTGAAGCAAAAAAAGTATGATACCTTGAAATAACTAAAATACAGGGAGTTTTCCAATGTCACCTTGATTGTAAAAATTCAACAAAAGTATTTTTGGGACACCGTACTGAATATATATGTTTATATTTTGGGACACCGTAGTGAATATATATGTTTATATTTTGGGACACCGTAGTGAATATATATGTTTATATTTTGGGACACCGTAGTGAATATATATGTTTATATTTTGGGACACCGTAGTGAATATATATGTTTATATTTTGGGACACCGTAGTGAATATATATGTTTATATTTTGGGACACCGTAGTGAATATATATGTTTATATTTTGGGACACCGTAGTGAATATATATGTTTATATTTTGGGACACCGTAGTGAATATATATGTTTATATTTTGGGACACCGTAGTGAATATATATGTTTATATTTTGGGACACCGTAGTGAATATATATGTTTATATTTTGGGACACCGTAGTGAATATATATGTTTATATTTTGGGACACCGTAGTGAATATATATGTTTATATTTTGGGACACCGTAGTGAATATATATGTTTATATTTTGGGACACCGTAGTGAATATATATGTTTATATTTTGGGACACCGTAGTGAATATATATGTTTATATTTTGGGACACCGTAGTGAATATATATGTTTATATTTTGGGACACCGTAGTGAATATATATGTTTATATTTTGGGACACCGTAGTGAATATATANTATTCCAAACAAATCATTCAGATATTACAAATAATAGTCATCGATTATTATTTGTAATAAAAAGAAAAAGATATTATGAAATATCAATTATATACGAATGCGTCTAAAAATAATCGATGACTATTGTTTCTAATATCTGGATGATTTGTTTAGAATTCAATTGATTTGTTTACGATCCGAGTTGAATGTTGCATCTTTCTAAATTTGAATGGAATTTGGAATATTCGCTTTGTTCTTTGATATGAGTCGTTTTCAACAATTTTCTCCTTATAGACGGAACAGATGGAAGTAAGATCAGTAGCAATCAAAAGCGATTTTTTTCACCGTAAGCCTATACCCCCTTTCATTTTTCGCGAACACTCCCTTTAAAGATCACAGAATTAATTAGAATTATCATATAGAACTAAAAATTAGAGACATTTAAGAACATTTCTACATTAAATTTTTAAATTTTTTTTTTTTGGGGGGGGGGGGGTAGAAAACTAGACTTTTGTTTTGGTTTTGATTGCATAATGAAGACGACCGAATTTAAACTTAACACCATTAAGATTATATCCATTGAGGCTAATCTTGTTTATTCGAATTTCCTTCAATGTACTTAATAACCTTAAATATTGTTCACTTTATTCTTCAGGATTGGCAAAGATTTAAACAGCTAGAAACTGAGAAGAGAGAGGATGCTCATTTGGAAAAAATTGCTCTAGGAAAGAAATTACAAATGTCCTGTAAAACAGCAAGGTATTTTTTATTCACTATTACACGCTAAGCTTGGTTCTAAAGGGTTTACAGGTCCGTTATACCGCGATATCATCATAGAAAATGTGTAAAAAATATGGAAAAAAATATGGATCAAATGAAAAAATGTCTTCTTGCCTATCTGAGATTTTGTGAAATTTTATCAAATATGATTGATACTTCAAAAAGGGCTTTCCGACGTTTCTAATTTTAGATTTTCCGGCTTTTGTTAATAAATCCTTGCTGTTTGAATCGACAGAACTAAAGGCTAAGCAAAAAACCTAAAAAACTGCAAGTGCACAGTTTACGATAAACTCCATTTTTTTCAATTTCAATGCATTTAATAAATTTTAGGGAGGAGGAAGAAGAGAAGGAGAGAGAAAGAAGAATTGAAGATGAACTCCAAGAACTTATGAATGACGACTTCATGCAGGAGTACATGCAGAAGCGGATGCAGGAGATGATGAACATGAACAATAAAAATAATAAAAAGTAGGCATTTATTTTTATACTTGTACTCTCTCCAACCCAACCATATAGCTTTGGATTATAACAATTAAGTCATGTTTATCAAAATATATAATAAGCAAAAACAACATCTTCAGATGGTTAATTATCTGTAAAATTGAAGAATACATCAAAAATGAATAATTAAGATGGTCGATGTTATAAATAAAAAGAATAGATAAATATGAACGAAAAAATAGCTGGTCAGTCATATGATAAAAGTAAAAGATAGATTTTCTCAAATTTTCAAAAAAAAAATTCCATTCTAAAATGTTTTAGGTTTGGAGAAGTGATAAATCTAAGTTCCGGAGAAGATTTTCTGAACGCAATCGACTCCGAAGAGAAAACTTGCACAGTGGTAATCCTACTCCACGAACCCGGCGTTGAAGGTTGTCAGACTATGCTCGGATGTATTCAGTGTCTAGCAAAGGAGCATAAAACCGTCAAATTTTGTGAAATATTCGGATCGGCAGCCGGACTTTCAAAACATTTCAAGGTTTCAGGTGTACCTGCTCTCCTGGTCTACAGGGACGGTCAGCTTATATCTAGTTTTGTTCGTCTCACTGACCAACTAGGAGAAGATTTCTTCGCAAACGATGTTGAATCCTTCCTCCAGGAGCACAGTATTCTACCTTGTCTGGACGAGGTTCCAAAAATTATCCGAGGTCCGGGGGTAACACAGGACGAGGACGAGGATTAGTCAACTCATTTATACACACGATCTACTTCAGGATTCATTGATTAGAAGTAATTGTTTATTTGTTTGATATTCGCCATTGAGTAATATTGATGTTTTTGTTTTGTTAAACTTTTATCTTCATAATAATGTAAACTTTGTTTAGAAAAGAAACTGAGTTTTTGCCACAACCCCTGATTTTTCAAACCCCTCTCTGTAACCCGATGTCGCAAACCTTTGATACTTCCAGTGCTTAGGATCCGGATCCGTTGGATCCGCATCCGCAAGATTTTGGCTTCCTGGATCCGGATCCAAGGAAGAAAATATCAACCAAATACTGCAACAAAAAATGTTACTCTCAAAACCCAAATCTGAACTATTTGAAAATAGAGAGATTGTAAAATTTCCTGATTTCTGAATGGTTCATCAAGTTTTAGCATAAAAATAAGCGAAAAAAGAAGACAACAGATTTGAAAATTCTGCTTTGTAAAAAATCAGTAAATTTTAAAGAAATAACCTGGATCCAATTTCGGATCCATTTTTTTTCAGTGCGGAACCGGATCCTGATCCGATCCGCATGAAAATTAAATGAATCCTTAGCACTATACTATGTATTCTGTCATTTCAAGTACTCTAAGTAATATCAAAGGTGTAGTACACCATCAATTAAAAAAAATATATAGGCATTAGAAAATCAGAGTTTGTGGCAAAAACTTATTTCTTTGATATAAAACCATTGCATTTAGTAATTGTTTTCGTAAATATCAGCTATCAGAATTTAGAATATGAATTCAAAAGAATTCGTAATAAACATTTTTGTTAAGGCTTAAAGCTTGTTTTAGTTTATATTTGCTCTGGTTCTGATATTCACAGTATCATGGGTTGAGAAAAATCCGTGCTTTACATACATCCTTGAGTAAGATCTAGATTTGATATTTCAGATAAGAATGGTTCTCTTCTCCCCTGTACAGAGATTATTCCCGAACCTGGTTGAGAACCTAGCCGGGAAAAAGAGAAAGATGAAGGATGAAGAAGAGATGGAACCATTCAGGAACATCCTCCTGTATATTTAATATGCTTGTCTGTCTGTCCGTTTGTATCCAAAAACGTCGAAATGGCTGAACCGATCGGACCCAAATTTTGTGTGGGACCTTGCATGACTCCGGGGAAGGTTTATGGATGCTCAATATTACAAAAATTTGTGTCTAAAAGTTTTGGATTTTTTGTTAAATTTTGAAAATGCGCGAAAAAATGTTATTTAATTCGCGAACTTTTTTGTTATTGTTTTACATGTTCAAAGAGAAGATGCTCACAGAAAGACCCACAATTAAAAGTTTAAATAGAAGATGGGTGCGAAGCGCCCTAAAATCCTTGTGTTTTAAAACTAGATAATTTTAACTTATGAATAAAGTAGTTTTTTTCACAAAATTCGTTTTTCCCCAACTTGTTATGAATCTAATTAAATCTATTCCTCTAAATTATTATCAAGATGTTGTTCTAGAGACGAGATCAAAAAACCCAAGATTGTTGAGTCTAAATGTGAGAAGTGCAGAGCAGGACTACCAGGGCATATATCTCATATACTTGCAAACTCATAGATATTTTTTGTTAACTTGTAGATAATTTTTGTTAACTTTTAGATAATTCTTGACAATTCCTGGATATTCCTTTCAATCTCCTAGAATATCCTTGCAACCTTGAGTATACTTGCAATTTCATAGATAATCCTTACAATCTCCTGGAGTATCCTTACAATCTCCTAAAGTATCCTTGCAATCTCCTAGAATATCATTGCAATATCCTAAAAAATCATTACAAAATCCTAAAAAATCCTTGCATACTCCGAGACAAATTTGTTAATTTCTATGTAATCCTTGTCAAAATATGCTAATTCCTTGACAAATTCTATTTAATCCTTGCCAAATCCTAGATCCTCCTTGCCAACTCCCTGGTACTCCTCACTAATTGATTATGAACAAGAATTTCAAAAACTCTTATTTTCTTGCGTCTTTTTTCTTGATGATTAATCTCCTAAAACTACGGATCTATCAATTTACTACCAGGAGAGAATCTTCGTGATCTATAGTTAGATGGGACCATGAACTACGTAGTGACCTTGGTTTATGTAGAACTGCAGAAAAACGTTAAATTCTACATCTTCGAAATATATCAAACTAAACATTATACATACTCCCTTAATTGTTTGAACCCCGTGATATCTCCAACTTGATGGAGTTTGTTAACTTAAATGTATTGCTATTTATTTGTACATAATAAAGTATTTATGATAATTTGTTGGAAGACAAAATATTTTATTTCAGATTTAAAATGTTTACAATATCCATCATACATGTATTGCTTAATAGGTTTGTATAGACGGCAGAATGAATAACAAATCGTTCTTCTAACGAACGCAAAATATACAAAAACTTGTTTAAAGACAGGATAGAGCTGAAATTTATTCATTTACGGACAATGTACATAATGCGTAGAAATGGTTGAGAAATTTTTTGAGTAAATTTTGGTTAACGTATAGTGTAGAGTAAAGTGCGGGTTTCCTATAAACGTTTATAATTCATTAGTAAAGTTTTCTTTTTATACATTGTATAGAGTATTTGAGTAAAATATGGTTTGGTATTTTATCGAGTCTTGTTTCCAGGTCAAGTTCATATAAGCATAAAATGAGTATTCTTGGTTGAGAATCCCGGGATTCGGATTCAAATCTTCACTTCTCCCGAGGTTTCAGGTTTCCTCTTCTCCTGCTCCGGGTCTACCTTATCCCTCAACGGAACGGATCTGTTGAGCAGGGTCTGGTAAACTCTTGTCCTCTCTCATGGATCCAGAAGTTTGAAACCCATTTAGTTCCTGCTAGGACAGGACATGCGGCATGTCTCGTCATCTCATCTCCTTCTCCGTTCTGGTGCAGATTATACCAGAACGCTACCGCGCCCTTCTTAGGTTTCAAAGATATCCCTAGATATGGGAATACTGTTGCTCCGCCGAGCTCTACGTCTGATTCATACATGAGCAGAGTTGCGATCCTGTTTCCTGTTCCTAGACTTGCAAACGCGTTCTTTTCCTCTCGGCGAGCAAAGTCAAAATGAGGTTCATAGTGACCTCCGATACCGTAGTTAGAGACCTGGAGCTCCTCACTAGTCTCCATATTTAGTCCGGTCAACTGGTTCGCTTTCCTTCAAATATAAACATTCTGTTATTTAAAAATATCTCAGGAAACTGTATCAGATGAAGAAACTATTTAATTGCATGATTCAAATTACTACTAATTCTAATCTATAAGACTTTAAAATTCAATTTAGTGAATGTAAATATTTTTAGAACTTTCTCGGATATAAGATAGATTTTAGACCATTGAATAAAAGATGAACTATATATTTTTTATCCTTTGATTTTTCAATCTGTAAAGTTTATATTTACTAAAAAATGTAATTATTGACAAACCTGTAAATATTTGCAACATGAGGATGCTCTTCCTCTTTTAACCAGGCAGTCTTAGAGATCCTATAGCTTGCAGTCTCCAACTCCCCTGTCTTATAGTTCTGCACCGTGGCACGCTTAAACCTTGGAGTAGCCAGCTCCTTGATCGTATCTATCTCTGTATCTGTGACCAGATCATGGAAGAGAACTATTCTGGGATTAGGATAGATATCTTCCTCCTTTACGGGACCTTAAGTAAAATGTACATTTAATTTCTAAATTATCCAAGGATGTAATGCAAGGGAAGTTATTTCAGAAGTGTACACATCTTTTGTACTGCAGTGTACTGTCTCTGGGCGGTATTGTAAACACAAGACGGATGTCAAAGCCTGATATGGGATCCATCTTTCACATAAAAAAATCAATGAAATATTCTGGTCATAGGAAACTATTATGTGAATTATCAAAATTCAATGCTTTTTACCTCCTCGGATACTTAACGAACACTGATGCATCTATTCTTGTTTACAAATTCCGCCAAAAGAGAACTGGTTTCAATATGTACGCAGAGTATACACGACCGCAATTAACTTTCCTTGCAAGACACCGTTTTATTGATCTGTTTTATTTCATGAAACAAATAAAGATTTGAATATTAAAGTATATCTAAGGTAGAAAAGATTTTTTTAAACATAAGTCCTTAATAATAATAAATGAAGTTAACCCGTTCTATTTTGATTTAAGTTCCTCCAAAAATGTCAGTATTTGACATTTATTGAATGCACAACTTATAAACATATCAGTTTTAAAATAAAGCTATTGATTGTGGAAGTAATATACTTATCAAAAAATGTTAGGAGAAATCTATGTTGGATTAAACAAAAACAAAAATGAGAAATCAAATCTAATAATTTTTCGGGTAAAATGAGGGAACAAAGTCTAGTCCCTTTACACCACAAAAAAAACCTTTTTTCTCTCGGTTTCTTGCAGTGAGAGAATGGGTTTGGTTGAAAAAAGCAAATATTACCAATAAGAAGATAGGGATGTTTCCCTGTGGTGTATCTGCAGAGAAGACGGGATCGGATTGACTCCGGGATGAATTCCTCTCCTCTGCAGAGCTGCTCGTACTGAACCCTCTCATCTCCCAACTCCTCTTCTCTCTTCCTCTGCTCCTAGCAGATAAAATAGTGTACAATTTTAAAACTATAATTTTCAAGGTTACTTAAGGTGACTCGTTAATATCATAATTATAATCTATATCTAAGGAACAAATATATTCAACCCTTTAAAGACTGTGGGGTCTGAATCATTGTATAGCCTGGAAGAAGGGGCATCCCACGACCCCCCCCCCCTAAAAAAGGCATTAGAGTATCGGTATTGGTTTGATATGCATGTCCATAGCCCAATTTTTAAGGCCAACTCATTGGACCGCTATCTTTAATAGGTTGCTACGCATGTTTCTGCATTTAGTTTTTTTAAGGGCTTTTCAAAAATTAAGTTTTCAAATCTGGAGAAAAAATTATGGGCTATTATAGTTTTTTAAATATGGACCGGACGTTTTACCGCCCTGTACCCTTCCATATGCATAAAATATTTTTTTTTTACAAAATATCCTTAAAATTACTTTTTCTTAAAATTCTTAATTCTCGGTTAAAGTGTCAAAAATGAGAGTGATCGAAGTTTTGAGGTATGATTAAAAAGTAATTTGTTGATGTAATTATTTTAGACTATAAAAGAAGAAAAAATCAAACCTTTTTTTGTAAGGTTTAAACTTTAAAGGAATGCAAAAACCCCTGGAAGTAAACATTTAATACAACTTATATTACCTTAATGATATTTACAGTTTCATCTGCATCTCCTAATCCGTCCTCTCCTCGTTTCTGCAGGGTTGCGCCCTTCTTCTCTAGGGTAGACTGATAGTACTCCAAGTTTCCAGGTCCTCTAGGATGCTCAGGTTCTAACTCAACCATCTGTTTCGTCAGTTTTAAGGCGCGTCTTATATTTCCGGTCATGTAAGCTGAGAACGCAAGATACTCCAATATATCAGCCTAAAAATGAGAATAAAAAACTGATGAGGTCTAAAATGATCAACTATGTCAATGAAGAAATAATACCTTTGTCACAGTTTTCTCTGTCTCTGTCTCGTATTGTCTAAGTGCCTCCTCCATCCATATATTAGTATGGTAGTAGTCACCATTGTTATAGGTTTGTCGGCCCAGCTCGAAACAATCCTGTGCGGTCAACCCAGGACCAAAATGTTTACCACTGAGAATACCATTCGCTATGCTCGTTGTATCTAGCCTGTAGGTATCCTGTAGTCTCATTAAACCTATGCAAAGCAATTATTAATACAATTATTACATGAAATAAGATTGCTTCGTCATAGAGAGTGATTTCCTAGCCACTTTCCTGAAAATTTCGGACATGGATTTAACATGATTCTCAGATCTTTTAAAAAATTATAGGTTAAAAGCTAAAAAGTTTGAACAAACATGAAGGGAAAGAAAAACACTTCTACTTACCAATTGCTGCTCCGTTTAAGTCTTCATCCTTGGGCCACCTCAACCCATAGTTCTCAGTTGTCAGATTCTTCAGGAATCTCTCCGAGTCTCCTTGAATCACACCTTTCAACTCCTTCCAGTCGGAGGTCAGCTTTTTGATGAGAAGAAACGAGTTGATCGGGTTCCCAATAAACTTCTCACTGGATAAACTAGCACGATCCCGTACACTCCGATATTCTTCTAGAATCTTCTCTAGCTTCTGTATTCTCCTGTACTCGTCCTTCACATAGTCCTCTAGTTTATCCACTAGGTCAGCCTCAGTCCAGAGAAGTCCCTCTAGATCTGCAGACGATGTAAACATTCCGTCTCCGTCACTAACGGAAGGAAACTTATTCGCTGCTTCTTCAATGTCTGTTGCTCCGACTATAGTGGAGATATAAATTAAAATGATTAAATTCTGCATTTTATAGATTCAGGTTTGCCGGCATCTAGCACAATATGGTTAACTTGTGCTCCAGCTCCTGTAACGAGAGAAGAACTGGAGTTCACTTCTACCTATTCTCTGGGAGCGCTGAGATCTAGCGGGGCCGTACTACGTGTATAATCGCATATTAGGGTTAAAACTCAATATGTTTAACACATGTCAGATCTGTGTCAACATTGAAGACAACACTGCCTATTACAGTCCAAGAGAAGATTATCTGAGATCAACTAAGAAGGAGAGCTGTAAAAATATATCAGGGATAAAAGAATAACTGGAGATTTGGCTCTATTTTGGTTTACATATCTTTCAAGTCAGATGTTTACTGTTATCACTTTTTACTTTCTCATGAGAAAGCTGGCTATTGATGAAGAGAGAGAGAGAGAGATTGAGAGAGGGGGAGTGTAGGGAATAGGGATGATACAATCCTGTTTGGTTCTGCTGCAGCCTAGGGCAGGTAGAGACTCCCCTTCTCTATCCGTCTCTCTCTCTCAGTCTGACTCTGAACTCATGTTTACAATGGCAGCTGCAACTACCCACTCCTTCTCTAACTTTCAGAGATTACGCATTAATTAAACAAGAAGGTTGGTGGTTTCAACAGAACAGTGGAGGACTTGTCAATCTTGTAATGGTTTAGGAAACCATACAACTTCTCAGGGAGGTCAGTTTATCCTTGAATTAGGATGATTAAACTACTGATCTACTCCTCTCTAGCCTGGAGTACGATGGGACAGAACACTGGAGGTTTCTTTTTCGGACCGTCAGAAGTAGGCGAATATGCTGAGGAAGGAGATTGTACAGACAACCGAGGGCAAAGCATACCGGAAGGATTACTTTTTACTCCGGGTCAGGACGAATGCCAGGTCTGTACATGTCTTCGAAAAATGCCCGTCCTTTGTAGGACGGTTCTATGTGCTCCCCCAATGAACTGTGTGAGTTTAAGAGTTGGAGATGCGTGTTGTCAATGGATCTGTGATGATGTTGAACCTCCTCCAGGTTCTATAAGTGATATTGGACTGAGACTGGTTGCATCAGCGATTACAGCGATCCTCTCGCTCTCTTTGCTCTTTTTTCTCATATACAGACTCAGACAGAGACGGTTGAGAGGGAGACAAAACCATCTTCAGGCAGAAAGCTTTAATTCAGTTCTAGGTAAATAATGAAAAGAATTTTATTTTAAATTATCTTAATTCATTTTTATTTTATTTTCTATTGCTTTTTTATTTATTTTTTTTCAGGTCAAACTGAGGATTGCTGGGTCGGGGATACTCAGCTTTCATCCCATGGAGTAGATTGGAGAAAACCTTTGGAAGGGACCTTTAATCGACCTTTTCCTCCTTCCTACGATGAAGCAGTTTCCTCCACTAACACCGGTGAAACCCACTTAGAGGACCCAGGGAATCCTGCTCCACCCTATCAAGGACCTGTTCTACCATATCAAGTCGCAACCTTGGGTCGAAGAGTTTTTCCAGTAGGTATTGACTCCACAAGTACACTTCCTTCAGTTCTCCGACGAATACGGAGAAATACTCCGGACAGGGATGAAAGAGTAAACGAACCTGAACCTGAATGGGTTCGTCCTGAAGTCCGTATAAATCTTCATCCTTCTTCAACTCGGCATTCAAATCCTCTTTTCCGGCATTCATTGCAGATATGTTCCGGATACTCAGGTAAACAATGGTTTAATACAGTGCTTGGATCCGGCTCCGAATTCGCAAAAATACTTTTGAAAAAAGAAAGATTATAAAAATTTCCAAATTTCTGAATGCTTCATAAAGTTTTAGGATACAAAAAATGCGAAAAAAATAAAACAAAAAATTTGAAAATTATTTTTTGTTAAAATCAGTAAAGAAATGACCTGGATCCGGATCCGGATCCGCATCAAAATTAAATGGATCCTAAGCACTGGTTTAATCTAATTCAAACTCACGAGAATAATAATCCTGGTAGAAATACGCGGTTTATAAACACTTTAGTAAACTTGAACGCATTGAATTTTCTTGGAATAAGTTTTTCTTGTAAATAATGGGGGTAGGGAGGAGAAAATTATAGAGTTACCGGATATAAAAAGATAAATAAGATAAATAAGAAAAATAAGATAAATAAATTAAGAAAACCGATAAGATAAAGTTGAGAAGAAAATAAAAAAAAATACAAGAAATAAGATGTAGAGCAGAGAGTTAGTTGAATTGGGAAACATAAAGAGGAGTTATAACAACTAATAAAAATAGAGAAGAACTAAAATGAAATTTAAAAAAAGATAAAAGTCAGGGGGGGGTGGGTGGAAAAAAGAGGTTTATAAAATTAGTTTTCTATATTTTTTAGAGGATTCTCTTCCTTCTGGTATCTCACGGTATCCTGAGCCGGAGACCGATGAATCGTTGGTTCCTGGGGATTCAATGGAACAGGAACAGAACCAGAGTTTGGAAAACATGGTTCTGAACCAGCGCTCGGTACAAGACAGAAGCTTTGAACAGAATCGGGGCAGGGAACGTAACAGGGAACAGAACAGGAGCAAGGATCTGAACAGGAGTTCAGATCTGAACAGGAGTGCAGATCTGAACAGGAGTGCAGATCTTAACAGGCGCACAGATCTGAGCAGGAGTACAGATCTGAACAGGAGTGTAAATTTAAATATGAATGCAGAACATGCTTTGAATACAGATGAGGTTCTGAGTGCAGAGAATGATAAAACTGCAGAACAAGATCTTAATAGAGTAGAGCATGAGAATACGACAAAAGAAATAATTTCTGTATCTAGCCCAGTTCAAGAGATAACACATCCTGGAGCTAGTCCAATGCGAGGGTTAATTAATCCCGGAGTTGGTCCAGTTCCTGTAGGCAGTCCAGTTCGAGGCAAAATAAGTCCTGCAATACAGAGCTCTGACGAGCTGCCATATCTAACCCAAACTACAGTGTAAAACAAAGAAAATTTTTACCAAATTTTAATTTCCCTCAATAAGAGGGTTTTGTTATATTTCTGTTATTGAAGCAGCCTGTTTTGTTTTATTACACATTATGTATACATTAGAAATATTATAGATAGATATAATACATTATAAATCTTCGTAGAGGCCAAAAATGTTTCGGGAGCTTATTTATAAAATAATTGCACATAACTTTATCTGACATATTACACAATTTGAACAACGATGATAACCATTGAATTATACTGATAAATTAAAAAATAATTAAGTTAACAAAAAAACTTCTAAAACAACTTGAATATTTTTCGTATTCTGGGGAACTCCCGAATGCACAATCAATATATAAGAAATGATTCTTTGCCACAGAACTTAATTTTCTAATCATTTTGTCTTTGAAACCTAATTTTGCCAAATCAAATGGTCAAAAGTTTAAAATATCAATGGTTTAACCCTCTGGTTAAAACGATATAGGGATTAGAAAATTAGAGTTTGAGGTAAGATTTAGTTAATTTTTTCTTAGGTTTACTGCATTATTGCCTTATAGGGTCTCTAAGCGCAATTTCAAGTGACCCTACATGCATAGATGTAAATGTCCGATTCACAACGGTACATTTAAAAGCTTCGTCTGATAGTCAATGAATTAAATATTAATGTTTATAATTTTAAAAAATATTATTTTTAATTGGGGGGTCACTACAAATTTAACTCGCGCATTTACTGCAGGAAAACGTGTAGGAACGATCAGAATCAAACACTTTTAAGCCGGAAAAACTCACAATATCTTCCACATTATTGATCAGATAAAGATTTTAAGGGTTCCGTAGTTAATCGTGCACTGTCATGTTTGAATTGAGGGTCACTTGAAATTACGCTTACATTCCCTTTAACCATTTGACATTAAACATTTGTAGTCTGTACATGATGTAGAATTAAAGTGTTGTCATTTAAACATCTGTGTTCAGAAACATAAACAGTTCCGTTATAAAAACAATTAAGTATTAGATGCATCCAAAACATGTATTAAATGCACCGCATAAAATATTCATACAGTTGAGTCACGGTTATTTGTAATCCTTGTATGTATCTACAGGGTGTCCCACATCAAATTAGACCGCTTCAATGGGTCTAAACTACGATTTGGGGGACAAATCAGAAAATTTAAGAAGAATGGATCATTTTGAAAAATTTAATAAGTCTAATAGAACATTTTTTTGTGGGAAATTGCTGGATTTTTTCGAGTATTATGTGCGTATTTTGGCGTTAAAGATTGGAGATAATCTAATATAATATGGGACGCTCTGTATATCCACATTATCATATTTTAATCACGATTACATATATTTTTCACTTTAAAAATTTTTTTTTATTATTCTAATCCATGAAAATCTGTACTTTTATCTACTGCAAAGTGCACGAATTCCACACTACATTTATAAAATATATCATTTTACTTTATAACATTTTATAGATTTTTGATAAAGATAATTAAAGAACTTCAAGTTTAAATGATAATGATGATATTTTACCGTGATAGATTCTATCGTTAAGTATAAATTACCAAAGACGACATAAAGTTTTTTATCTTTCTATTGGATTTTGAATATCTTTATTGTGTACGTATTTTTCACCTGCGCTCTTAAGTAATGTGAATTGTATATCATGTTTATAAAATAAATATTTAAAGATATTTTTTAATGCCGAAAAAAAGTTGCCACATTAAGAAAATAAAACTCAGAAATGTGCTACAAAAAATAAAAATGGTTAAATTTGTCAAATCTTTTATACAGTGTTAGTAAAAAAGGATGAGACTGGAAAGACGACCGCAATCATGAATACAAGGTAACAGATAGTAAAACTTTCATGCAGTCGTCTCTGAAATCTCATCCTTTGTGGGTACGCCTGTAAGTAAATAACTATGTTCCCACTAAAATGTTAATTGTTAACATTTTTCAGCCCCAAGACTTAAAACGGATCACATATAATAGATTTTGTAAGCAATAGTTCATCTATACGACGTTGTTTAATCATTTTAAATTTTTGATAATCCTTGATACCTTTGCTCGTGATATGAAAATATTAGCAAATAGAGCTAAATACTTGTACTCCTTTTTTAACCACACATAAGAAATTTAATTTATATAAGTTTTTAGAAATATACATTTTGAGCAACCTTGCTCTGTCCAAAGAGCATTTTTAATATTTCTGACCCAAAAATCGGGCTAGAAAAAATCAAACACTGAAACATGAGTACTATTAATAATATATCTTGGTAGCTGTGTTCATGACCAACTTGATGGTTTAGCAGGAGTTCGTGGAGACCACCTGATTCAATTTGATCAAATCTCAGTCACTAATACTCACAATAAGCTTTTTAAGGCGCAGTAACCTCTCAAATTTATTGAGAAGAACAATGTTTTGATTTTAGATATTTTGATACAGGGTGTCCCAAAAAACATGGGAATTCAGTGACGAATTCGATATCGTCTTTTTAACTAATTCTTTGATTTAGTATAGTGATACCTACTGAGAAAGCTGTAATCTGTAAGAGTTTCGTCTGTTATGTTCACATTATGTTTGTTTATGTTTTGACTGCATACGGTTGTACTTAGTAAAACAAGAAAATTGCAGTATACAAACAGAGTAAACTTGTCCGTCTTCAGTGTTCATCTTGCGGAGACATTTAGACAAATCTTTACAGTCTTTTACCCTTTTCATAAAATAAACTCTAGCAGACATAATAATATTATGGCTTTTGAAATTAGGTATTACTATGCTAATTCATGACAAAGACGATATCGAATTCGTCACTGAATTCCCATGTTTTTTGGGACACCCTGTATTAGATCATATTTTGTGCTGAAATTCCTAGTATGTTACCCAGATAATATAGAAATTCAGTCTACCACAAATTCTGCAATCCATTGTCGAAGACCTTAGGCATTATAATTATGACTTCTGTTTGATCAAATATTAAAAGGTTTAAATCATCAGGTTTCAAAGATATATAACTGGAAAATTTGAGTTTGTGGCAGACTCTTAATCAATTTGAACAAATAAGATGCGTTGAAGTGTACATTTGGATGCTTTGCGTAATCTAGCGTAACCCAACCCATGGAAATCTCTTAAATACAATTCAACTGTTGGAAAGCATCAAAAATGTTCCTTTATTAAAATATTAAAGCATCATAACTGTCACTGATACAGATGCAATACAATATGTGTAAATTTCCCGTTTTTCCCTTGTCTAAAACATCATGGTAATAATAATGAAAAATATAAAAACACTAGTAATAGTATAATAACAATCATACTGATAATATGAAGGTTTAAAACTATATTATATATCAGCATAGTAGGGCGCTGCTTTTCAATTCATTAAAATGTTTTTGTTTTGTTTTCTAAAAACAGTCAGATTCATAAGGACCTATTTGTTTGCAATATGTGGATGATGCAGGAGTGAAATTAAATTTTTGGAAAATAAAAAAAAACAATGATATAACTTAACCATGTTTCTACTGTCTTACTGGGAGTGGGGATGAATAGTTGAAAACTATCACTATTCACTACCGACTTTGATAATAATTAGAATAAACAAGGTAATAATGATAATCCAAGTACTACCTGTACGATTACTACTAATAATCATGAAGATAATAATGATTCTAATAATAATAATATTGTCAGATATAACGATAATTATAACAATATTAAGATGGCTTAGATACAATTCAAATGAATTATGAATTGACTTGCGATTTACACAGGCTGGAGTGAAAATTTTATTTTGCAGTATCAAATACACATTCTAAGTAACAATTTAATATCCAAGTCACAATTAAGGCAAAGCCATACTTTTGAGACCAAAATATGTCGAAAAAGGTCAAAGTATTCCATATCAATGTTTTTTTTCTGTTCATATTAGGATTTAAATTTCCCTCAGCTTTTTAATTTTTATAGAACAGCCTTAGAGAAATGACCTAATTTGAGACCATTAACTATTTGTCATTTTCAGCATGTAATTAGTATATGTACCTATCAAAACTAACTATTAAGAAAGTTGGCAACTTTTATATATTCTGTGTCATTATATTCAAAAAAGGAGGNGTGTGGCATCTTCTTCCTCTCTTGCCAAAACTTGCCCTTTCTCAGGCTTTTCTTAAAGCATCAAAAATGATTTTGGTCGGAAAAATGAAGGATTTCTTTCAACTGATGAGGAAATATTTGTGGTATTAAATCCATTTAAAATGCACAGGAAAACGCATTGGTTCATAATTCTTAGCTCATTCAGTCATAATTAGACTGGAAAGTTAATATTTTCAATTTATTTTATTTCCATCGTGTTAGCAGTGTTATAAACACTAAATAATCCTATTCCCTTGCTAACCGTGCATCAACCTAGGATGATCATTTTAGGTACTTTTGAAAGAGAGTGTTATCAACTATCTAAAAGTTTCTCTGCCTGAGTCTTTTGATCCTAAACTTACTAGTTTCTTAATTCAAATTAGAGCTAGGATGTATATGTATAGTATTCACCCGTCTACAGGCAGATGATGAATATTAATTCTAGGGCTGACTACGAAAGTAGATCTAAGATCAATTGATTGCTTGGTGCTTTTGATGCTTTCAAATGATGTTTTTGATGCTTTCAAATTGCACTTTTGATGCTTCAAAGCATCCCAAAGTGTTGAAATTGAAAGACAATTCCTTTATGCAATTTATAATCAAATTAACTAATAAACTTTCGATATTAAGTTAGTTAAATTATACAAGAAATATTCGTTAAAACGCTCCGATTGTAAGAAAAGACGGCAGTTGTCACAGTGTTCCTTAAGAGCAAACAGGTTTAACTTGGTATTGCGGAGAAAATTCAACTTGTTCCTGGTTCTCATGCATGATGGTGATTGGAAACAATTTCCGTCAAATCATATCACTGCGTCCTGCACATGGTGAGATATCGAGGTTTTTTTTCAGACACACCCTTTACAACTGGAGACACATTTTACATGATTAATAACTTACTGTTAATGTTATTTCATTAATTTCTTTTCCCAGACCTTTCTTCATGTAATTGTTCAGTATAAATTTTCATGAACCTCCTTCCAAAACTAAGGTCTGTACTCTGTATGTTCAAGAGTGTCTATTTATTTATTTTACCAACCCCACAACTCACAACAACTTGCACCAAACGGGCACCAAGGACCAAACAAAGAGGGTAAATATCATTTCAAATTACTAGAGGATGATACAAGTTTCCATAAACCCCATCACGGACACACGGACCAGGAAACAGTTTTCTATCAAAACATATCTCCTTGTCCTGGTGAGATATCGATATTTGTAAGACACCGGGTGTGTAAATGCAAAGTATGAGATAATATGGAGTATGGAGATGCAAGGGTAAAGAAAAACTAAAGAAGGATTGGGATACGAGTAAATAGGAAAAATGGAAGGTGTAGATTGTAAACGATAAAGGATAAGGATTAAGGACAGAAGAGTAAAGGATAAAGATTTAGAATAAAGTTGGAAGAACGAAGAAAAATTCATAATGGATAATTATTTAGGTGGAGGAGTAAAGACTTAGGATTAAAATGAAAGAGTAAAAGATAATTGATTAAAATTAATATGACAAATTAAAGGATAGAGATTTAAGGATTAATAAGATGAAAATGGAAGACTAAAGGATTAAGATTAGATGGATAATTCAAGTAAAAGTTTTTTACAAGAAATTTTGCCCATTTGAACCAAATTATCATAAAATTCCAAAATCCAAAATATACAGGGTGTATCTCTTGGAACCTTTGATATCTTATCAGGACAAGCAGATATAATTTAATGGAAACCTTTTCATGATGGCCTTAATGGAAACGTATATATTTACCTCTATAAAAATTCAAATGGCATTTGCATTCTTTGTTTGGCTCTTTACGGCCGTTGGATGTAAGTTGTCGCGAGTTGCGGGTTTCTCAAAACAAAAGTAAAGAGTAAAATAGGTAGCTGAACGTTCTTGAATGTACAGACTTGAGTTATGCAAGGAGGCTCATGAAAATTTACACTGAACAATACATGTAATACATGCAGGTCTTGGAAAAGAAATCTATGGAATAACTAAAAGCATTTAAAAGGTGTCTCCAGCTGTACAGAGTGTGTCTTAAAAAACATCAATATCTCACCAGGACGGAGTGATATGATTTGACGGAAACCTGTTTTCAATCACCTTCATGCATGAGTTGCATTTGCTCCGCGATACCAAGTTGAACTTTTTTGCTCTCAAGGAACATTGTGATGTAACAGTTTTATGAGACCGAATTAAAAAACATTTAGATTTTTAAAATCTTGATCAACCCTTAATCTTAATACGCATTTTCTTCTTCAAAATAAACCAATATGGTTATACAAGAAACCGTCTTGATCGAAGCTCTTCAAATATGACGATCTGAAGATTAATTTGATTCCTCTCCTTGATAATAATCGTTTTAAGGCTTATTTTATGATTGGCAAAAAAAGTAACAAGTTTAAAGAAACGGACAGTATAAATTCCGTACAGTCGTCTCATCGTTTGTGGGTAACCCTATGTATATATATAAAAACTGAAAATAACATCGATGCAAACTGACAACACGAATTTCAACCAATTGCATACATTCATCTTGTTGGATATTTTTTCTGATGAAACATTTAATTGTTTACTAGTATTTAAAGATCAAAGTCGATATTTAGATCTTCTCTCAATTATTTATATAGCGACTCTGTTTGCCTTACTTCATAAAATCTAATTTAATCAATTGAACTGTTCATACAGGTTAAAAACGCTACGGATAGGATTAGAATACAGGGTTACCCACAAAGGATGAGACATCAGAGAAGACTGTAACATTTATACTGTCAGTTTCCTTATATTCGTGGTTTCCTGCAAATATAAAATTGTTTCTTTCATTACTAAATTATTTGAAAAGCTATTAAAAAATTCAAGCCTTGTTTTAACCTGGGATCGTCATATTGTGTATAAAATCTGAGCTCTACTTCCCTATTTCTTTGAATTTAAACCTTGCCAGAACTACAAGAAAAATCCTTGTCTTCAAAATTGCACTTTAAAAACTCTCGGCAGTAAATAAATAAAAATAACACTGAAGCTCTATTATTTTGTAACAAAAATTGCAATAATTAAATATTTGTCAAAGATATGGCTTCAACCATCTGAAACCACTGCTCCTAACTCAGAAGAGTTAAATGGTGTACAACAAGAGTACATACGCAGTACTTGACATGTACAGTACAAGACGGCATGTCGGAACTACTCTAAGGTTTATCACAGATATTAAATGGACAGTTCATTGTTTATACAGAGGACTCAGTAGGCCGGTCAGGTGTACAGTCAGGGAGAGATAATCTTCGTTCCTCCCGATCCTCACGTTCCAGGTTCCATCTCTCATTCCGCTCCGCGATCAGTTCTTGATTAGAAATTACCGGAGCTAAACGATCCCAAGAAGATTTAGATTTCTCCGAGTTCATCTTTGATAAAATAATTTCAGTAAAATCTTTGGTTCCTCCTACAGTATGTCTTCTCTTTATTCGTCTATTTCTGTTGTCGGAGAGCTTCTTCCGAACCTTGTTTATGTCAAACTTTGTATTTGCTGAACCGAGTGGGTTCCCGGAGTTTCGCGGACGGGTTCCGCTCTGCTCAAAATGCTCTTTAAGTTTCATCACTTTATTTTCTTTCTCAACCTCACGTTTCTTTTGGTTCAGTTCAGTTTTTTCTCTTTTAGTTAAACTATCAGATCTTTTAAGTGGTTTTCTATGGTTAACTTGTTGAAGAACAGGTTCTTGTTTGACGGATTTTCTGATTTCTGGTTCAGAGTTTCTGTCAACCCTGGCAGAGCGTTTTAGCTCAACTTTTTTATTTGCCTTATCTCGGAGAAAGGCATTTCTTACATCGTCCAGTTCTTTTTTAGAGCCTAAAGCATCCAGTAGAGCTTGCTCCTGGATTTGGTTTAAATCCGACCAGTTCCCCTCCTCTCCTGGTCCATCTCCATCCTCTCTATACTCTGGGTCTAGGAGGAATCTCATCTTCTGGTCGAAGGAAGCAGACAACTTGACCAACAAGGATTCAGCTGAAAATATAGAAATGCATAATTAATGTAATAAATTTACAAATTGATGAATTAATTGCAGCAAATGTGCAATTGTCATGAATACAGTAAAGCAGTAAAATAATTGGCATGAAGACTCGGAACAAAACTTATATTTAACACAAAACATAACTGTCTTAAATTTAAATGTATAATATTGAATATAAAAAAATAAAGGGGGTCATGTGTACTTTAAGTCTGGGCATCAATCATAAGGAATTATGAATATTGAATTGACTGAATTTCAAACTGAATCAACCTTTTTCAAGTTTCTAAAATACTCACCATCCTCCGTATTCTCGTCTATATCGACATCAGAACTAGACTCTATCAAATCTCCACCATCATCTGATAATTCTCCATGTTTTCGAACCTTCAGCCTCTGCAGGGTTCCTCGTTTCATCACTTTGTTTGTATCAAAGCCGAGTAGATGGTTAGAGAAGTGCCTGGACGGTTCAAGGCTGCAGGGTAGCGTGGAGGCTCTGTAGGAGAGAGCAAGGAAGGACTCATCTCCTGGAATCCTGTTGTATGCGTCGGTCTGATAAGGTTCTTCCATAAGGATTCCTCCGTCTAGAGGATTAGTATCAGGGACGGGTGTGGTTAGACTGGTTAGACGACCAGAACTCCGGGGTAGAGAGTTTAAACTCGTCTCACTGCTAGTAGATTCAAGCTCGGGGGGTTCTAAACAATTATTTTTTAACTATATAATTCAACATTTATAGTTATAATCACACATTTTGACCCCATAAAGACATTTTATGAATTCTTTGTCCCCCTATACAATTAAGATTCAACATTCTCATAATCTTATAAATTAAATATCGTGCCTAGGAATTGTAGATGATATTTCAAGTGACCCTCCATTTTTAGATTTGGATTCACAAAGGTACCAATGACAAGTTAGTTTTTGAATTTTCAATTGTGGTTTCTCCACGAAAGTGACTTACGAATTTATGCTTTAGAAACAATGAAGGAAACCGTTAAAATAAAACACTTTTCAAGCTAGAAAAACGACGGTTTCTTCCATATTATTGATCAGATAAAGGTTTGAAGGATATCTTTGTGAGTCGGGCATGGCCTTCTTTGAATAAAAATAGATATTTGAAATTACAAAGACAGTCACTTTAAATGGAAAATATTTGTGTGTACAGTCATAACCAGAAAGACCCGAAATTAATTTATAATTAATCAGACGACTTAACAATCTAATTTTACAAATATGATTAATGAAACAATAATAACAAAATAGCACTAGTCATGCCAATTCCAAGATGTGGTCTGCATTTATTTTGTGTTTTAAATTACCAGAGAATATCTGTAAAGTCGTCTGATTATGCTAATTAATTCCGGGTCTTTCTGGTTAAGACTGAAGTTTACTGAAAACTGTATGATTAATCAAGGTATTAGTAAACAGCAAACATTTAATATTCTTTGTACAGATGATAACAATTAATTATTCACACAGAATTAGTTAATCTGAGTGTACAGATTTTATAACCCGCTATAAAAAATATTAATAATAATATTATGAAACAAGTAATTGTTTACAAAGAATATCAGGGACTGTAAGATTAATTATCCTCTAAATTCAATTTAATTCAATAAGTTCCTGTACTGAATGATTGAGATAAAATCAGGGAGTAAGGAATAGAAGGGAGATATAACTGACGCGGTTCGCCCTACCATATGATTATACATGCTTTGCAGACGGGTACTCCATTTGTATATGAAATATTCAGAATAGGTTATTGTAAACGCAGTAAATGTACATTAGACAAATATTTCTTATTCATATGAAGTACCCGTCTGCAAAGCATATATACTTCTATAGGTATAGGCGATACTCCCTGGATAAAATCCGTGTTAAAACTAAGTGATTTGCCAAAAAGATTCTACTGGGACTTCAATGTAAATATTTTTAAGACGACGAGTACGGAAATCCTGCCTTACAGTCCCTGGTTAAGGTTTAAGCTAATGTTAGAGTAGGGAAGGCAGGTTTCTCACTGCCGTTATATTAATCCTGGAGACATTCTTCAAGACTTTCAAATGGAAAACAAGTCTTTTAAACATGAATTAAAAAATCTTACGGAGAATAAAACCTTAAAATTTTTTATTTTTTAAATCATCACAAGGATTTTGCTATTAATGATCTGAATTAGGAAATATGGCTTGTATTTAGCTTTAAATGAACTAATTAAACTAATAAGCAAATTGAAACTAATCACTGAAACACAGTGATAAACTAGGCTATTCTCCGAGTTAAACATATATCCTACTCCTCAAAGTAATGTACTGTACTAGATGAGGATGAAGAACACATTGTACCTTATACCCCCGGAGTTGCTAGAGTTTAAAACTCCGGTTATGGACTGAAATATTTCAGAAGTGAGGCGATAATTTTAAAGATAACAGAAGGATTAATAATAATAAATGAGAAGGGTCGCGAAAATGAAAGGTTTGAATGCATCAGAAGTGTGACATTGTGATCTCTTCAACTTATTTTATATCAATTGCAGCAAACGCAGAAAAGACTGTTCCATCTTTAATTCATTCAAAACTGGGCCAATCAATATTTCTTTTTACTCGGAAAACGTCTCAAATAACTCGGAATTTCAGATTCAGTGTTTTTAGATATATTTCGCGCATTCAACCTTTACCCCTTGCATTTTTCACAACCCTCCCTTTTTAAGTAAGAAGTAAATAAACTTACTGTGTGTTTGTCCGTCTAAACTAAGACGACCTTGATGTGCTGAGCTGAGCTGAAGGGTGGATCCTGAATGCTCATGTGCACTACGGGTTAGCATAGCTTTCGTCTCCGCCTCAAACTTCTTGATTCGCTCCGCTGTAGCTACGTCCAGGCCGGTATAGGTCTCTATAGGGAACTTGTATTGAGGCTCCGGATCCTTGACTCCGACATTAACTAGAGATAACTGACCTCGTACAACCTTTACAAACATTTAATTCAAGAAATATGCTTTTAAAGAATGCGATCAATCAAATGACCGATACATAGTTTAAATATTTAGTGAAAAATCTTGATAAATATCAAATAATTCTGATTTGCCTTCAACTAACTCTAGAGGAATTTGAAGGTATATATGTACTATCTATGTGTACACTCGAAAACTAAAATTTGACAGTTTACACCAAGAGTTGCCTTAACGAAATGAATATTTAAAAAGACTAAGCTATACACTGATTCTAACATTTTATATTATTAAAGAATGTTTCAGGTTGGAAAAGAAAGAATGCACAATTCAGAAAAAAATTAACTTGAAAATAAATTTAACAAACCTCTTGGTTTTCTCCAAGCCCATTTTCAATAGTTTCTGTGTCAGATTTCATCATCGCCATCCTCGCCTCACAGATCTCACCGACAGGGGTACTCTCACACACCGCGCCCCCTGAATACGCGCAAATACTTCCGCGCTTGGATTGGCAGACAGGTAAACTGCCTCTGCGCTTGAATATATCCCCGGATATTGAACCTCTGCTCCCCTGTCTGCTGTAGGAATGTCTATGTTCATCACATCCTGTCTCTCGGTCGCTTCCTGCCCTGCTCCCGCCTGATGTTCCTGGAGGACTACTTCTGGTTTCAGGAACACTAGAGCTTGAGATAGAACCTACTAGACCAGGCACAGCACTAGCTATCTGTAGAGCACCTAGAGTAAACATAATTATTATTTTTCGCCGAAATTTGAATGTCTAAGTAATTTAAATGATCCTTCACGAATAGAAAAGTACACAAGTTAAAAACCGATGGCCCTTTCTCTGAAGGGTGTCCCACGAAACATGACAGTTGTGAATAGTTCTGAATTTCTTCTTTCATATACTGTCTAGATATTGAAGACTTTTTGGTGCAGTTTATTTAGTTATAGTATTAAACAACTTAAAAACTCGCGGAAAAAGACATTTCTAACTATTCACCAACTGTCATGTTTCGTGGGACACCCTGTAGTAGAAAGCAAATTATGAATTACTACTGCACTTATGGGCAAGAAATGGCTGATTTTTGTGCTTTTATAATTTCAGACTATAACCCTTTCTTGTCATTGAAACCGTTCATTAAAAGTTCACATTTCAAAACGTTGAAAACCCATTTAGTGTCATTGTCCAATTGAAATAATGATCGATATATTATTTATGAAACTATTGTGTACTTTATCATTCTTCCTCACTTCATCGTTAATTTCATAATGAACGTGCTATAAAGTAATCATCTTGCTATAAATTTAAATTAGCTGTACGTGTGCTGTAACGGTTTTGTTGGTTTCCGGATTTTCTACAAAAAATTTAGGATATTTCAAAAATATTTTTTTTAATTGAAATGAAAATGTTACATTCTTAGCCCAATTGTTTTACATGTACAACTACATGATACATAAGGGATAGAATATTAAAACAAAATTAAAATTTATACAACAATTTACTGAGGGCATAAACTACTAAACTATAATAATTATTTACAACACTGTTATTTTGGTTCGCAGTGTTACAAAGTTTTTCAACAAATTTTCTCTCTATCGAAAAGGCGAGAACCTTCAAGATATAAAGAAAATTTAAGTCCAAAAACTCTATAGCACGTCTTGCTAAAATAATAGTGTTATAGGTAATTTTAAGAAACGGTTATTTAAATGGCAATTTCTATAGATCAAAAAAGCTTTGAAACAAAGCAGAAGTAAAAAAGTAAAGTGGATTTCTATTTTATATTTTTTATATTTCAAAATTTCACGTTTTTGACCGAAACATAGTAGCCTGTATACTGTGTAGTGTATATATTACAACGGCCGGGTGTTATATCACGTGACACCGTCCTGTAATTTGATTACCCAGCAACCAAACCTCTCTCTACTAATACAACTTATTTGAAGTTCAATTTATTTTCTAATCTTCTTCTCAATTAATACATCAACCCTTCATGCATCTATTCATCAATTCCTTCTCCCTGCACCGTCTAGAGTATATTCACTAAAGGAAAAAAGTGGAAATGAATAATTAATCCCGACAAATCTATCAAGGGCATGACAGACTTAATATAAATAGGATACGATGAAAAAATTAGGTGCATTCAATTTTCATCCTGCAAGGTAAATTGTAAAACAGAGGCAAGTACAATAGGTGGCATTTAAGAATACTTTTATATTGAGTACATATATTTAGACAAAAGCAAGGAATGTAACAGGAAATACCATAAAGTAAAGTGTAATGCAGTTTCTGGAAGGGATATAAACAAATGCAGTTCTGTCCAAGCTAATGTCTATTTACATTCCTTCCAGAAATTCTAATATTCCTTGGACTAAAGTTTGCAGTTGAATAACTAATAAGTGCAGTTTTATGGGTTCTTTCTTTTCTTTTTATTCACTAATTATCTAACGTCCTATACACTAAACAACGGGTTCAAACAGTATCACAATTGACACGAATGACGTCATGCATAATATTTTCAAAATCTTATTGACACCTTTTGTACTTGATAATCTATTCTCGCAGAGCTAATTTGTTGGAAATAGTTTTATTAAATGTAAAATATCAATATCAAGGTCAAATCATAAAACCTCGAGTATTCTACTTAAACATAAGAGAAAATCTAAAATTTGTATAGTTCAAAAATATTTTTAACTGCTGTCTCGTCCTTTGCGGTATATTACTTTTAAATCGTAGATTGTAGGATTGTTTACTTTATAAAAATTAGTTATAATTCTGATTTTAATATGTCGTTTCTTTGTCCTTGTCTATTCCTGTTTTTTTCCCCTTCTGTTCTATTCTATTGTATATTTTCAAAAATCTCGTTTTCTCTTAAAATTTATTTTTCTAAATAATTGAAATATTTGATAATGAAATTTACTCTCACCAAATACAAAATATTGATTTTTGCAAAACGTTTCTGCAGAAATATTTAACTGCTCAATACTCATGCTTCATGCTCGGCATATGGCGCGTATATTTATTCCCAGTGGCGCAAATATGTAAAATCATAAACTGTGTACCTTAAATACTGTAAGAAGTTTGTACTGATAAAAAGTACTAATGTAAGAAATTTGTACTGATAAAAAGTACTACTGTAAGAAATTTGTACTGTTAAAAAGTACTACTGTAAGAAATTTGTACTGATAAAAAGTACTATTGTATAAAATGTGTACTGATAAAAAGTACTACTGTAAGAAATTTGTACTGATCGGGACCAGTAATAACGTCGGACGCACAAACGTCGGACGCCACAAACGTCGGACGCACAAACGTCAGACCAGTACAAACGTCGGACCAGTACAAACGTCGGACTAGTACAAACGTCGGACCAGTACAAACGTCGGACGTGTACATTTATAAGAAAAAACGTCGGACTTGGTAGATTTTGAATGGACCATTGTATTAAACAATTTCAAACTATGAATTCTACAAGATCATACAGTTTAATCCCTATATCTTTGCAACCCGATGTTGTAGATGTTTCCAAGAACAGTTCGTGGACTTATTGCTTTATTTCCAGAGCTTTCTTTAACTACTTGTTTTTCTATTTCACGTACTCTTTTCTTCAAAAGATCACTGTCATGTGTATGCTCTCCCAGGAAACTGATAATCTTGTCATTCTCAAGAATTTCCTTTGAATGCATTGGTAATCGGTTTTGTTGGGTTTCTTCTTTGTAACCCTATATTTAAACTAATTTGAATCAAGTAGGTACCGTCCCCCCTGCTTAACCTCAATATAGTTAGCAGTCTCCTTGTCCATGTATCCAGACTTTGTGAGATTATGAATTTTTAACAAAAAAAATTGGGATTTCTTTTTGGAGAAAATTGCGAATTTACAAGAAATTTAATCTGAAAATTCAAATATATTTATTCCTCCTTAGTCCGACGTTTTTCCTTATAAATGTACCCGTCCGACGTTTGTACTGGTCCGACGTTTGTACCAGTCTGACGTTTGTACTGGTCCGATGTTTGTACTGGTCCGACGTTTGTACTGGTCCGACGTTTGTACTGTCTGACGTTTGTAAGTCTTATGTTTGTACCGTCCGACGTTTGTGGGTCCGACGTTTGTCCTGGTACCGATAAAAAGTACTACTCGAAGATCGCACAAAGTACAGTTTTAAGACATTGACAACGGAATAATGCGTTAAGAGTACATTATGATCAGATGGTGTACACCCTAGAAGACAAAATATTACAGCATTTTTAATACAAAGTACAAAGAGTATGAGAAGTACACACTTTACTTTTATGTACTAAAGTGTCTAATCTCAAATTTCAAGTTCATAACTTTTAATCTCGGTAAATCGAAATCTGATGGGTCATTAAGCAGGAGTAAATTAACAGGAATCTATAAAGATTAGAAGGTAAATATAGAAATAAAAAAGTATAGCTTCAACTGTATCAATCCTTCCGCGCCCCCCCCCCCCCCCCCCCCCCCCCTCCCGGTCCCATTCAGCTTGTAAAACATTTCTTGTTCCCTTTTCCTCAAACTCCCCAAGTAGTTATGACAGTCACGTGAGTCGACTGCTAATGCTAGGTCGGAAAACACTAAAATTTTAACTTTTCCATCTTCAATTTGCAGAGACCCAGGCCGGCCAACTTGAACTGTTTTTCATATTTACTACGCTCGAAACTAATGAGCGAAAATTTGCAATATTTGTGCAAAAAGGTGGGAGCACAATATGTTAAAAATGTGTGGAGGGGAGGGGACATCTACTCAACTTGATTTTGAAATATGTCTCAAGGGGGGAAAAAGAGCTTGTACGAACATGAATCACATGATCATGAAAATTGCCAGGAAATATAAAAAGATATCACAAGCCAATCACGGCTTAAAGTTGATATGAGTATTGGGTGTTTTCGGGAATATATTCATTGTCCAGTGTGAACTCTTGTATTTTGGATATCGAGATCAAGCATTGTTAATCTAATCTTTATCCGATATCCCGCAAGGTAGCGTACCCTGGAGAAATAACTGAAATGAAGAGATTAAGAATTGATCCTCAAATTAAAAGTGTCCATTGTGGATTTCAGATCATGCGACCGGGATTCATGAGTATTCAAGACAAAAGTTCCCAGCTCTGGTTCAATATAATCATTTTTACTTAACATTTAAGGGAGTTCCCTACTGCAGGGGAGGGGGTCCTGCCTAACTGCATTTTACAGTTAATTACTACTAAGGTTGTGTAAAAAGTCTCTCAATGATGAATAACCTTCACCTTCGCAATATCAATCAAACTATTACGATCCTAAAACTGCAAAATCTGAACGATAAAAATATTCTGAACATTGACTCAGGAGAAACCCAAAAAAACTAATAACGGGGGAGCAGGGAATATAGCTTACCATGTATTACAGACTCTGATTCCCTCCTGGAGTCGGAATGTGAATCCTCCATCCTGCTCTGAGATCTCTCCTCAAGATCCGAGGTGCTCTCCTTCTTAGATTTTGCTCCGGTTCTCAACATCTTCCTGTTCGCAGCGGATATTATACTTGAAACGATATCTTTGGCGGAGACGTCGTTCTTCGGAGAGTTTAGTTTCCCTGCGTCCTCTAGTTTATGCAGGTTAGCCAGCATGATGGACTGATTACTGGACCCGGTGAGGATATTGACCTCGTCGTAGAGTTCATCCTTTACCTCAACATCCTCGGCATCCGCGAAGAAATAATCCCAGTTGGAGAGCAGGCTTTCTATAATCCTGCACTGCTGAGACATATCCGTCACCATGGAGATCATATTGTCGTCAGTCGTTCTCACCAAGGTTGGACCGAACACGATCGCCAGGTTTCTAATCTCCATCTTATTGACGGAGGAGTGGTCGGCCACGTTACATAAATGCTGAGTGAGAAAACGTAAGGTTTCAAGATGAATATCTGGAAGGTCCCTTACCAACCTTCGCAGGGATTCTAGTCGTTTAGTCGGCTGCTCGATCTTGCTGGCCTCGATAAATAAACTGTACATTTCCATCGTAAACAAGGGTTCGGGGAGTTTACGAAAGAAAGACTTCAAGAGGCTAGAGACTACGTTTACATCCTGCCACCTGTAGTCGTCTAAAGCAAAGGCATGAACTCCCTTGTTCACTTGTTCAGTGAGATAGGTTACAGCAGCATTGTTTCCAGGAACCCGGTAAATACCAACTATCTCCAAACCTTTCTCATTCACAATATCACAGCAAACCTAAAAACAAATATTTATTTAAATTCAAAAATTGCTTTTTCGGGCTAATTAGTTCTGTGTGGTCATGTCTGCACAGAATTGAAATTCAAAATGATGAAAACTATTAAACTACTGATTTAAAATACAGTTCTTAATGACAGAAAGATAAATTCTTCAGATGTTTTCTTGACATACAATTTCCAAATGTTCTTATTTGAAATTAATTTTTACGTCCCATTTCCAACTCACCTTTACTAAATATGGTACAAATTCGTCATTGTATTCTGGACACAGAGGACATTCATCTAGAGGGACGTTTATACTTCCCCCCTCGGGATATAAGGGACCGTGACCTCCCCCTCCCATCTTTTTCAACTGTTTCACCACCTTCCCCTTCCAGTTCTTCTTGTCTTTATCCTTCAAGTTCGGCCCCGGATCTACCGAGGCCTTTCGGTTTTTACTGGACGGACTCTGTCCGGTCGGAGACCGGTTTCTAAAGGAGGTTAATTTCTTCAGTTTATTCACATCCTTCCTTTCATCTATGATGACGGCCATAGCTGTCTCATCGATTGTTTTTACCCAGTCTTTCATCAAGGATTCATTCTCAGCCTAAAGTAATGAATATGAAATGATAAAACGTAATTATATTATTATCGCCACATTCCTTTAACCAATAGGTGCATAGTATATAGCATATCATGGACGAAGACAAGGGAAAGGATTTAAGGATTTGGGTGAATGATGTGAGGTACGGATGGAGTATATCAGGGTGAATGATGAGAGTTAAGGAGTATATCAGGGTGTATGAAGTGAGGTAAGGATGGAGTATATCAGGGTGTATGATGAGAGTTAAGGATTAAATCAGGGTGTATGAAGTGAGGTAAGGATGGAGTATATCAGGGTGTATGATGGGATGTAAAGAAGGCGTATATCAGGGTGTTTAATGGAGGTATAAATGGAGTAAATCAAGATGTATGATGGGATATAAGGATGGAGTATATCAGGGTGAATGATGAGAGGTAAGGGTGATATTAGGGTGTATGAAAGAGGAAAGAGTTATCAGGGTGTAAGATGATAGGTAAGGATGGAGAATATCACGGTGTATGATGAGAGGTAAGGATTGAGAATATCAGGGTGTATGATGAGAGGTAAGGAAGGAGTATATTGGGGTGTATGATGAGAGGTAAGGAAGGAGAATTATCAAGGTGTATGATGAGAGGTAAGGATGGAGAATATCATGATGTATAAAGTGAGGTAAGAAGGGAGAATATTTCGAAGTGAGGTAAGGATGGAGAATATCACGGTGTATGATGAGAGGTAAAGATGGAGAATATCAGGGTGTATGATGAGAGGTAAGGATGGAAAATATCACGGTGTATGATAAGATAAGAATAGAAAATGTGTCGGAATGTAAGAGCACAATATTCTGGAATGCTGTTGAATACCTGAAACAAATATTCTGATCCAACAACAGTCTTGACTCGAAATACGTTTTTCCGCTTTGTGTAATCGTTCGCCACCTCCACTTCCGACTCAGCCAGCTTAACCGGCTTCTCCTCGTACTCCAGGTTCTCTGTAGCCATCTTCTTGTCTTTGAACATGTACAGGGCTTTTGCCTTGAGAACAGCGTACACCGTTTTCCAGGATCTATCAGTTGCCTTTCTACCATCCAGGCAGGCAACTTTACAGGTTAGATATCCTTCCTTTATCCCATCATTCAGCGTGGTTGAGGAAGCAGATTTATCAAGACCAGAGGACAACTGAAACTAAAAATATTTGGATGTTCAAATTAAACAAAAGCTAAGTTTAAAATATAACCTGTTTATTTGTATCCAATAAGCTTCAGAACGGCTAAACTGATTAAACCCCATTTTTTGTGTGGTATCTCATATAACCCAGAGAAGTATGGAAACCAATCAAAAGAAAAATCCACGAAATGTTAAGTTACAAAAGTGAATATTTGACAGAAAAGTTTTGTTTGACTTTTTAAACCTAATTCGGGATTTTTTTTTAGTTCCATGAATTGCTTTTTAGCACAATTTTCATCATTTATTCTAACATAAATCTTACCCTAGCAATATGCATTAGATACGAATCCTAACAATTCCAATAAGTTTCAGTTCTTTAAATGCCATCGTTATCACTTTGTAGTGCCGGTCGGGCAAGCAAAATTCAGAGAATTTAAACAAATATGTTGTTGCGGAATTCGGCTTATAGTCATTACTTATGACGGTATAAATTGAACAAATAGAAAATAAAATATATACTTATTCCAGATTTAAGATTATTAGAAATAAATTGCGTGTCCTACCAAATAAATTCGTTGGTTTCATGTTTGATTATGATTTTTCCCCAATACTATTTGAAATAAGATTCCAGAATTGAATTTCATTGATATAGATAATTGATTATTAATCATCTGTTATAATTAGTTTACCTTAGGCGGTTCTATAGATTTAGGTGAGGGAGGGGATGGTTCTACTGTATTTGCTGGAGGGGAGGAGGAGGTGGGGGGAGAATCCACAGATTTCTCGCTAAATATGGATTTTAGCTTCTTAATACTGTGTGTCGGAGCCAGACCAGTCTCAGTCGTCAAACTGAAATTGAAAAAGATTAAAATGAATAATCTGGAATCGATATCTTTGTCAAGTTAAAATAAAATTTTATTTGACAAGGGGAAGGGGGGGGGGGTACAGTCACACAGTAAAATACTATTCTATCTTCCTATTCTATAAAATAATTTTGCTGATTTACAATCAATCCTATATTCAAGTATTTTATTGCTACTTGTTCTAGACGCAATAAATCAAGTAAAATAAAGCGGTTTCAACTATTCAATATACAAGACATCTGAATCACTTTTATAGGAATAATTCAATACTATTCTATTTTGTCTAGACTTCTTTTAACACAGCCCTATGTTCAGTGTAGAACCTGAAGAGCTCTTCGTCGTGTTCAGATATTCTCTCCGTCCAATCTTCTAAAACTAATTTTAAGACAATATCTAGAATCTAGATAAACACATTCAGTATATACTCGCTAATAGAGTAGAATAATTCATAACTATTCTAGTTGAACACTTGAATCCTGTAATACTCCTTACTTCAGTATCGACGGGTACTTGGAGTTGAGAACTTTGGGACGGATAGGGGGCGGAGCATCTCCAGCAGGTTCAAATATACTGATTAATCTTTGCATACGTCCCATAGGCTTCCCCTTCTTCACAGGTAGCTTAGGTCTAAACATTGTCTCGTTCCAATATTGCTCTTTAGATTCAACTCTAGATCTAGCAAACAATCTTCTATTCTACACTATTGATAACAGATCATAAAATCTATCCTTAGAAAAAAACGCAGTTCAAAAACACAACATTAATTTATATTATTTGTATCTAAAAAAATAAAATGTTGCGTAAATCTGCCCAAAAGTTCAAATCCTATCTATCGTTTTATTTTGTAAAACTATCAATTTAAAATTTGTGCAATTAAGTCTCGGACTGGATTAAATCATGAAATAACTTCACATCAAAATGATTCATCTGAAAGTTCTCTCCCCGCGTGAAATATATTTCTATTTATGTACTTAACTCACTTCAACTCTCAACTTTCAATATCGAAAATTCCCGATGACGTTCAAAGCAACAAAAACTATGTACACTGTACATACTGTACATACAGGACAAGATACTTTGGCAATACATTTTGTCATATTATGTACCTTAATGTTAGAAAACTTTAGATATATAGCTCCAAGTAATGTAGCTCCAAGTAATGTCATCTTGTTAATTAGCAATGTCACGAATGTAATATTATTTTCAGGAAAACTAGAAATAAATCAAATCTAAATTGTGAAAGATTATAAAATGTCTCCGTTCCAATGGTTAGGTGTGTGTCTATATGGTGTATAAACCACGATGAATCGAACCTGTCAAATTTTCTGATTTCAAATTGTGTGCGTGTGACGGGGGGGGGGGGGGGGGGGGGG